GCAAACCACCAAGCTAATCTGTAGAGAAGGAAACCAATTCTATAGAGGACAAATCATACAGAAAAACATCAAACCTGGCGATGATCTGAGGCCAATTCTCAGCAAACACGTCTTATATAGGCCTTGTTATCAACCCTAACAAGACCAGGCAGTGGACCCACCTATGGCCACCCAATTACTCAAATTGTCTCAAAATAGGGGACCTCCCAAAGTGGGCAGTTTCTCTTTGGCTTCCCTTTGGTGTCCCTTTGAAACCACAAACAAGGGGAGTACCCGCACAAAAAAAAAGGCAGACCCAAAATGGCCCTTGGGGAATCGGTCTTTCGGCGCTTCAGAGATCCTGGAGGATGGCTTTTCGGTTGTCGCCAAAGCCGGGCGCTTTGATGGCTGCAACCTGGCGAGCGTCGAATGCAGAGAGGAAGAAGAAGCCCTCGACATGGGGGCCCAAGGCCGTCTCTTTCCCCCCCCCCCCAGAAAAAAAAAAAAAGGAAAAGAATAGAAGGAAAGGCTTCGGTGTCCCTGTTGGCTTTCCTAAACCACAACAGCACCCTCGAAGAAACAGGCAGTGATGACAATCACAAGGGGAAAGAAGCCGGGAACCCTGGGATAAAGCCGGTGACGTGTGGGTTCTGGTCTGACATGGAGGTCTTGAGTCTTTCGGTTGCTGAAGCTCAGAAGAGCTCTCTTGGCGTTACCTCAAGCTGGAATTGCCAGTGTCTGGCATGGGCACACCTCAAAAGAGATTCGGTTTGTTTTGGACGGTTTGGCGTGTCTTTTCGAGTGTGCCATTTTTGTGGTTTTGAAGGGAACCCAAAAGGACAACCACAATTCTTTTTGGGGGGTCGCCTAAAAGAGGACACACCCGACAGTTGTAGGGAATAACCGTGAAACCAACCAAATCTGGAGGTTTCTGGTTTCGAGAGATAGCGAGGTGTTTCTGATCTGACTAGCCTGCCGACTGCCCATCGCCTGTTTACCCAATCACACTCGCTTTGCAGGCACGGGCATTCCCGGTCTGCTCCACTGGTCGCAATCGTTGCGATGGCTGTGCCTCTTCAAGGATTCGCAACACCTGAGTTCACAGTTTGGCCATGCATCTGTTTCAAGCCGACCAAACCGACCAAGAGGATTGGCGCCAAAACAGCTTTCTCGAGCAGCCAACCCAACCCATCCCAACCCCACCTTTCCCAACCCAACCCAACCCAACCCAACCATCCAACCATCCAACCAAGGAACCGCATAGCCAGTGCCCCCCCCGCCCCCCCCCTTACCTACAGTGCCCACCTACGGTGCCCAGCTGCACAATATTGACCTTGCGCGCATGCCGGCCTTGAGGCCGCCCCTCAGCTTGTTCACAATGAGCATTGAGAGAGCCTCGCGGCCGCTCGCTTCACGCGGCGCTGAGATGACCCCAGCGACCGTCTTTTGGGGCCCCAACCCCTGGGTCATCAAATGGAGCCCGTTTCAAGGTATCTCCTTTAAGGGAAAATGCCTCAGGATTTGCGAGATCCGAAGGAAACCAACCCCCAATGAGTTACACCCGCTCATTTTGACGCAACCGCGCGGTTTCAAACGAGAGTGACCCCACGCGGAACATCGGAACACCAGCACTAGCTCGTCAAAAGCCATGATCTCCCTGTGATGGTCTTTAAAAAACTCCTAAAAATTATTGGGCTTGATCCTTTCCGGCTGGTTGCAATCTTGGGAGCCCTGAGGCCGAAAAATGTCCCGTCCTTTACATTTGCCCCTGAACTTGAAACCCTGGCAAACCACTTTGGTTTGGAAGCCCCTCACCTCACAACCTTCTCCTTTTCCCTTTCCAGGCATCCCCAAAGGAAGACCCTCTTCGGACGATCCAAGAGTTTCAGAAGACTCCACTGTCCACTTCAAGTGCGGACACCGAGGATCCCATTCAATTCAAAGTAGTCTCGTATCGTTCCCAAGCAATCCTGCACGAGTTGATTCTCTGACAACCAGCAAGCAAAAAACAGGGCGTGTCCCAGAATTGGGGGACCCAACAACATCATGGTTTCCTGTTGGCTTCCCCTTCACCAACCATTCTTGAAAGCTCCTCCATTCCCATTCTTCAGCTTCCCTTTGATTGGTGGTTTGGTGGGTTTGGAGGAGGGGTGTCCTATGTACCCTCAGAAGCCAGGGGTCAAATCCAACTCCAAACCAATCCAAACCAACCATCGAGGGTTACCCCCGCTACCTGCGTTTCGAGAAACTCCAGGTTCGCTTCCTGAGTTCCCGAGTCGAATCGCTGGCCTCGCCATCCACGTCCTCGGCGATGAGCAGCAGGGGCTTGCTGGCCTTGGCCACCTGCGGAGCGGAGCGGTTGGCGGAGCTCGGATGTTGGCGCCCAGACCCTCCCAACCTGGGAGCTCAGTTTTACCTGGACCTGCTTTTCCTTTTTCACCCCCCCAAAAAAAAAAAAAAAACGCCGCGCCCTCAGTGCACCCTCAGTGCACTTGGCAAGCCGCAAAGACGAAAAAGCTCCCCGTTGCGACCTGGAAAAACCCGCATGCCGCATGCCTGCTCCAGCACAGGAAGGATGGCCTGGCGCTTGCCGGCAAGCCGGAGGCGGGCCTACAGCCTACAGCAACCCAGGCGAAAACCGCAACACAAATCCAACGAAAAACCCCCCAAAACCTGGTCGGTTTTAGGTCAGATTTCTTCGGCTCACGTAATTCATTGGGTTTTTTCACCAGGATAGGAGCTCTTCAGAGCCATGGCATTGCTACAACCATGGAGTGCTCAATGTATCAAGAGAAACCTTCAATAGCAAGTCAGTACCAGTCTTCTATGGGGGCTTACGGCTTACCTCTGCTCGCATATGCAAAACCAGGCAACCCCTTGCCTCCTCCCCCTCTTAGCACCTTGGGGCGTACAGTGCGCCTGGAGTACACTTGGGAAATGGTCCAAACCACCAACAAGCTTCAAATGTGAAGTGAAAAAGAACCAACTAAATAAATATTTCCCTGGAAACCAGACCAAAGAAAGTTAGACATCAAATGATCAGCAGCATGGAAAGGACTTGAGTTCCAACCTAGTCAGGAGCTTCCAAAAGAACCTGTGGAGAACATGCTGAGTGGGAAGACAGGGTTGCTCGAAGCATTTTTGCGCCGTCTGGTTTGGTCATGTGCCAAGTTGGGACAAACCAAAACCGAGCATCCCCAGCTCTCCCGATCCCATCGAGCCTGCACGGAGGAGATCTTCTTGTCAAAAATCAGCACCAACGGGTTCTGGCGCCGGGAAGACAAAACAAAACCTCCCACACCAGGTGAAATTCAAGTTGAAAGCAGGTGCCAGTTCCTTTCTTATGTGGGAAAGAAAAGGGGAGGAGGACAGGGAATTGCTCCATCCACTTTCAGCCCTCTACTGTAAATCCCTGATTAACAAAATTCCGAGGTCCTGATCGGGGTCATTCAGGGGTCGACGTTGGGGCCAAAATGAGAAATAACGGTGCAGTCTTCCCAGAGTGAAGCAGCAAGTCTGGCAACATTCCGAACAAGCTTCTTGTCAAAGGAAGTTAGTTCCTGCCAGGGACATGTCTCGAGGGATGTACAGGTTGCAGTTGCCACCCCCCAGTCAAAAAGAAAAACGACAAGGAAATGCATGGAAGCACTGAACGAACCTTCCGGCTTTGCGAGTCGATGCGCGCAGCCTCCATCTCCACTTTCTGTGCCTAGCAGCTCGCGCGCGCGCGCGACGAGAGTCGATCGAGGAGGTCCGTCGTCGGAAAAGAAGAGACGATTGAAAAACGGAAACCAGCACTGCAGAATTGACACCTCTACCTCAAGTCAGATGGAAATGAAGTCAAACATCTCTGCCAGAGTCTCTTTTCAGGCAAAGCGACCCCTGCCCAGATCTGCGCTGCTACGGCTTTCCTTGGCGATGTTCTCCGCAAAGCCATCCAACCAGGGGGGGTTGTTCGCTTGAGGCAACCTCCACATGTACCGTGATCAAGACTCTTTCTGTGGGTCATAGTCTTCGATCACTGTTCTTGTGCGTTGTGGGCGCTTTGGCCCGGTCGAAGCAAGGCAAAAGGGGTGAAAAAACTACCCACGGTCATGGTTCCCTAGGAACCTTCCATACCATCCCTACCCAATTTTGACTCCGACATGGCACACATCTTGCCAAATGGAGAAGCTGACAAGCTCAATCGGCTCCGAGCCCTGCCTTCACGTTTGTGATGAAGTATGGGGAGATGTACCTCTCACCAGAAAAAAAAGGGGGAGAAAGTAGTAAAAGAGAAAGAAAAAAAGCTTTCTCGGCATAGGTGTCCTTTTAGAGGAAATAGATGGCCCTGGTAGATGATTAAACCACCAGGTAAACCAGGGCCATCTATCTTTTTTACCAAAACAACCAAAAAGGACACCTATGTTCCTCGGGGCTCCATGATACCAAAAGGCGGCAGCCCCAATTCATTGCAGATCTCACACCCCTTCCCCTTCTTTCCCCTTCCTTTGCGTCCCTCCCTCCCTCCCCCCCATTTGTGTCTGAAGGAATGTATGAAGGAATGCATCTGAAGGAATGTGTAAAGGATTGTATGTCTCCTGTTAGCTCCTCTTTCCATTGCTCTGTTGTTTTGCCGAAGCCGCCAAAGTTGTGTTTAAAGGTTGATTTGGCAAGTTGGACATCATTTGGACACTATACGTCCATGAATGATTGAGTATCACGGGCTTGAAACCCCATTTGGATGTACCCTTTGTGAGGGTGCCCTTTTTGGTCTCAGTTTCTCACCATTCTTGTTATTTGCCCTTTTTTGGGGGGGCTGGGGAAAAGGGGGGGGGAGGTCGATGCCTTCCAAACAAATAGAAAAAAGCCAAACGTTTTCTGAGTTCAGCTGAATGAATCGGGCGCCCTCGGTCCAGCTGCATGCCCTCCACCACCTCCAGCTCGTGGTCCATGGTCTTTCCATCTGACCTCGAGTCACTCGAGTCGCCGTCCCCCGTCCGGCCCTAACCCCATCCCCTTGTCTAGGTCTCGAATGGATTGTTCGCTTTTGGGGGGGTGTTGCTCTTGTTGCTTCGACAAGGAGTTTCCTGAAACAGAGGGCTTGCTGCAGGGGAGTGGCTCATCTTTGCCAGTGTCGATGCGCCGCGAACGGGTCAGAAAACACAGAAAGAGGGCCCCCCCAAAGCCAAAAAAAAAATCGGGGAATCCGCCCGCGTGGAGAGCAACACCGGGGGAAAAACAAAAAATGAGCAAGGGGAGAAAAGAGGCACGCGGTGCCGCGCTGGTTAGCTCATGAAGCTCCAAGCCCACGGCACCGTGATGGTGCCGTCCTTGCCCACCTTCCGAACGGCGAGTTTTGTGAGGCGAGGCGAAAGAGCGGGTCAGCCAAAGGAGTGGCGGGGTCCAAAACATCGCCAAAGGCAAAAACCAACAACCCGGCCAAGCTGGTTTGGTTGGCCGGGTGGTGGGTTGGTTGGTTGTTTGGTTGGTTGGTTGGTCGGTCGGTCGGTGGGTGGGTTCGGTCGGTCGGTGGGTGGGTTCGGTCGGTGGGTGGGTGGGTGGGTGGGTGGGTGGCTGGGTGGGTGGGTGGGTGGGTGGGGTGGGCGGCCAAACGAGTTCGATTCCATGTCAATCATGTCAGTGTCAAGTTTCAACAGGTCTTCCTCGTTTCGGTACCGAACTTCGGCCACAGGCCGCAGCAAACACGGTTCGCCCAGACTTGCTGTCGGGGAAACATGTGACTTTTCGAACACATGGCCCATGCGCCGGCAACTGTCCATAGTCAGACATCCCTGAAGTGGTAGGGTCAAGGACGGCTACTTCTAAACGTTCACACATAGAATCTATGGCGATCAACAACACTTAAAACTGTATGGTAGCGGGTGAGGTACATCAGGGTCAAAGTAGATGGCGCGAACTTCCTTGTCCGGTACGTAAAGCAAATGACTACACCTAAGTGCCGGAATTGTGCCCTCGACTTGCACCCAGCTGTGTGTCGAAATGGTCCCTTAAAACAACCCCAAATGCATGTATTTTTTTCTACGGATAACCTTCTTGGTTGGTTTCAAAGGGCAACCACCAACAGCAAAAACCCACCCATTTTCTGGGTCCGATTTCTAAACCAAACACACACACACACACACACACACACACACCATTCCCCTAAAAGGTGACTTTCAGCTCATGTCAGTTCAAAAAGCCACATGACGAGTCCCAGCCAACCAAAATGTGTTTTGGCGACCATGGGCGAGTCATGATCAAAACCTGGTATTAAAATGGCCATAAACTGGTCTACCCAGAATCTAAACAACTAACCAGGCGGATTTCCGCACCCATTTGTGGGTGGGACTATCTTTCCCTTACTAACCTCCATCATACGCGGCTTCTTTGAGGACGTGGCTCAGGCTCAATCAACAAGCCCCCCGCGAAGCCCGCGAAGCCATCGATGCGCGGCTGGGTTTTCTGCTCACATTTGCAGCACCCATTTATGGCTGCTTGGCTCGGGCGCATCGTTGCGCCCCGCGCCCAACGCGGTGCGCGGTTTGCCAAGCCATGCGCGGCCCGGTCCTTCTCGAAGGCCTCGGTGATGAGCCGGCCGATCTGCTCGTCCCCGTTGGCGGCGATGGTGGCCACCTCAACCGGGGCAATGGCCGCTCTCGAGTCGAGGGCTCGGTGGTGGTTTCTGGTGGTTTGGTGGTTTGGTGGTTTGGTGATTTGGTGGTTTGGTGGTTTGGTGGGGGGTTGGAAGGAGGTGGAAGTGATTTGTTTCATGGTTACCACCCCTCAGAAGTGGTTGGATAAAACCTGAACTGAATTGTGGTTGGAACCCCCTAAATGATGTCCACCAAAGGGTCCCAAATCAGAACTCAAACCCAGGGAATCGTTCGCCAGGGTTTTGGTGGAATCTTTGAGGTGTGTCAAGAACCCACCTACTTGCTGGGCTTTCGGAAGGGAACTTCAAGTTTTGGGGAATGACCGGAAGGCGATCCCAAAATGGAAACCAAAGGATGGTTCAGAATCAAGCTATACTCAAGGATGTCCTGCAGCATACCTAATTGCGGTTCTTGGTAACTGCATACGGAAACTGGTACGGAAATCCAACATAATATTCCCACTCTGAACAAAACAATGTAAAACAAGCGCATGTTCAAATTGGGAAACGGTCAGCCTGCTCAGACAAAGACTCAACCAGATCAAATGTAGCAAAAAACCATGCATCCCAGCAAACTTCAAAGCAAGACCTGTTCCTAGCTTTTTTTTCTCAAAGTCAGGGCTGTCCTGAAAGTGCCAAATGTGTGATGCCTGGCCAGTCAAAATTCAGTCCAGCATCTGCCATGCACCCAACCCCCCCCCCCCCCCCGCGAACCTGATCATAGCAACTGTTTCAGATGACCGGAATATGGTGGAAAGTGTGTGGGTGAGTGGGTGTTGTGCTTGTGTTTGCGTTTGTGTCGTGTTTGTGTGTGTGTGTGTTCGTTGGCAAACGAAAAAGATCCTTACACGCCAAATAGCATGGGAGAGTACGACAGCACCCTCACCAGCCAGCGCCCTTACTGCATCGCCAAACAAGCACCTCCAACAGCACCCCGCACCGTCAACAGCACCAGCCCAAAACAGCACCTGCGCCAGCACCCCAAACTGCATGCCCCCTAGCACCTTGCCGTCAATCTCAAAAAAATACGCCCCGTATCGCACCGTCACCAGTACCTCCATCTCGCAAAACACGAGGTTGGAACCCCTGTAGCTTTCAGCTATCCGGGATAACAGCATTGTTCCAATTCAACAAGCAGGTTTGAAGGCACAGCAAATGATACCAAATTGCACATCCTCACAGCAAGGCAGCCAAATTGGAAATCACCCCTTTGTGGATGTAGAAGAAACCCAAAAGAAACAAAGAAGCCACCTACCTGGAGGGGTCTCCAGTTTGAGAAACACCTCTAGGGCTTAAGTTTCATTCTGCTCCATTGACCGCTAGTGGGGTCGGGTGCCGGCCGACATCGGCCAAACTGACCCGAGCGGACCTGGAAAGGCAACTATCATGAGTTCCATGTACGCAGCGTCAAGACTGCTCATGTGAGTGGTCATAGTTCCATAGCAGAAACCCTTGAAACTGTCATCTAAAATAAACTGAAGGGGCCCAGTTGCCTTAGGGTTCCCCCCGTGGGGGCCCTGGCGCTCTTGATCTTGTCCGGCGTCTCGATCATCGTGGCCTGGTCCGCCAAGTCCTGCACACGGGTTTTCGAATTGTCCCAGAAGAGTCCTACGGAGGATGAGACGAAAATTGGATCCACGCTGCTTGGCATCATACAAAGGGGGTCTCCATACATGTATATGGGGAGTGGTCAAAACTATGGCCCTCTTTTGGGATCCTGGTGCCGCCTTGTGCTGCCTTGTAAAAGGGATACCAAACAGTGCCCCCAGTTTTGACAACAACCCATAAAGGCGTGATTGTAGCGGCATTTGTCACCTAGGATCAACTGCTAGAGGTTTGCTTTGCCTCGGTTGAAAAAAGTCTGCTTTGGGGATCCCTTGTTCTTTGGAAAGCCAAAGTCGTCTGTCCTTCTGCACGATCTTGGTGGCATGATCCATGCCGCGCTTGATGTCCATCCTGAACCGAGACTCAAATAGGCGAAAACAATCGGCGTGTGTGTGTGTGTGGGGCCTCTGGGTTTTTGTCGGGTTTTGGTCGCAGTTTGGGTCAAAAATAGTTGGCAACCCCAAACTGGCTTGCCCTGAATACCTGGTAAACGACAAATCGATTTATCCCGCGGCCCATACCCAGCTGGTGACTCATTTTGACCCCTACCCGTCGTACGCAACGCGGCGCAGGCGGACACCGAGATGCCACTGCCGAGGGGCGGGTTCATCCCGGCCGCCACCGCCTTGCATCCCTCCCGGAAGATGGCGCCTGGGCTGCGTTGGTTCCCTCCGCTTGTCCCCAGTGATTCACAGACTCACATGTGGGTGTGACATTTTTCTTGTTGAGGGTATATACCCGTTTGTAGGTGACTTTCAAGGGAACCAAAAGCATTCACAAACAACTTGCGTTCGGGGCGAGAGATGCAGGGAATGAGTTGGATGGAATGACCCTCATTAACCATCCAACTGGTGGTGTCCTTTAAGGGAATACATGCGGGTGTCACGATTTTTTGAGGGAACATACCCGTTTGTTGCTGACGTTCAAGGGAACCGAAAAGCACTAGGACACCCGTTGCCCATGTTGAGGGTGCCCCCAACACAAGGGACACACCCAAACAGACCTTCCCTAGTGATTCACAAACCTGCATGTGGGCGTGTCTTGTTGTTGAGCGTGTATACCGATTTGTGGAAACCAAAAGCACAAGGAAAGCCGTCCAGTGCGCCATGTTGGGATTTTTTAGGGTCCCCCAAAAAAGACACACCCAAATAGACCCTAGTCTAGGTCCTGCAGTAGAGAGGTCAGAACAAGGGTCTTCTACAGTCTATTTTAGTAGGGGAACCCTCACCAAAAAAGTTGGTAAAAGGGCACGAGTGGGGGACCTAGTAGTGATTCACACACCCGAATCAGACTTCGCCACGGGCCGAACCGGAAACCCCGAGCCATGGGCGTGCCAGCACCGTCGCGGTGGTCGTGCCGTCACCGGCCACGTCGTTGGTCTTGCTGGCCACCTGATCTGCGCCAACCATCGGGGCCCCCAAAACGGGGGACGGCAAAAACAGACGAAACATGGGGTGTCAAACTGGTTCTTGTTGACTTCCCTTCAAACCAACTACTCCAACTGGTTCTTTTTGACCTTTCTTTAAACCAACTACTCCAACTGGTTCTTCTTTCTTTAAACCAACTACTCCAACTACTCCAACTGGCTCTTCTTGACTTCCCTTGAAACCAAGCTCAAAAAATTGCCCCTCAACAAAGAATACGGTGCCCATCTTCGCCAACCCTTAGCCCCCCACCGTCTTCACGAGCTGCGCGCCCACGTTGATCATGGGAGTGGACCTCAAGCGGGGGAAGAAGAAAAAAAGCGAGCGAGCCGGCGGCGAGCGGTCTGCGGCTTCCCAAGGCGGGCAAAGTGTCATAAGTCGCGGCCCACTGAACTACTCCGAGTTAAACGTGCTTTTTTTCCGGAGTCTGTCGCTTTTTGTTACTTTACTTTAAAAAAAAAACTCAGGTGATATCCCGAACAGCATACGGTGCTCTTTTTCGTGCCCGCACCACCCGCAGCCCTCGCAGAACCTCGTGGAACCCTCGTGGAACCTTGGTGGAACCTTGGTGGAACCCTCGCGGAACCCTCTCTCAGGGCCGCGCGGGACCACCCCGGAGCCTATCTGGGCTGAGACCCCAAAGCTTTCAGCTGTTGGGGAAGACAAAAAACGGAGTCTGTCTCATATTCAGTCTACCCCCCCACCCACCCACCCAAGCAAAGGGCCAAAACCAGGCACAAAAACAGCAAGAAAGATCCAGTGAGAGACATGGTCGATATAGCCCAGATGTGTCTGTCCTTGTTTGGGGGGAAACCCCTTCTTGTCTGGTTTGATTCGGCAAACAACAAGGAAACCAACATAGGTTGCGGGTGCCCTAAAAAAACGAACACACACACACACAAATATCGTTCTTTGGGCTCACCCATTTTGTTTTGGGAAAGAGAAGAGTGCTGCCCAGATTCCCCGTGGGGACAATCACCTGAGCTCTTGTCTGCAAAAAGGCTTCAACCAACCAGTGCATGAATCATAGAGCCGCCTTGGATCCTGCTTGGAAGGGCCTCTCAAAAAGGATCCAATCGCACACCGCCTATCGCAGTCATCAGCTAAAAGCTTCGCGCTCAGGGCTTCAAGGGAGCCTCAACATCTTGCTGGCTTTGACGAGAGCCAAGACGCTTAAGCGTTTGTCCTTGGCAACGTTTGGGAATTTCACCTCCGCCCCTCTGCCCCCCCACCCTAGGGTGGGTGTCAAAACGCGAACCGGACCCCCCGAAATGGCCCAAAGGCGTGCGTTTTGAGACAAGGCGACCCACTCCAAAAACGGGGTCCCGCCCATATGGCTCTCTGGAGCCCCCGGCTTCAAGTCGATGGACTTGGCTACTGTGACCCCGTCCTTCGTCACCTCGCGAGAAATCGGCGGTGGGCTGGTTGGTAGGGAGCCCATGGTTGATCTTACCGTCGGCTTCTCGGTTCAAAGAGACTTGGATGAAACTCGGGAGGCTTCCTTTTGGGGTTCCCCGGAAAAAAAAATGGCGCTGAATTTCTGGAGTCCCATCGCCAAGTTGGTAGGGAGTATGCGAGGGCACGTCCTCAAGGGCACATGCTTCTTTCTGATGGGAGTAGGCACTCAGAGCAAGGGAGTGGGTTCTATTTCCAAATGTGAGCGACCCCAAATGCACATGGGACAATTGAACTGAGGGTAGTCGCCCCGTTCCCCCAACCTGCACTATATATATATATATACTAATATAGTCATGCGCTATTATCTTGTCCCACAGCTCCAACAATAAAAATAAATCTTGATTGGGCACATATCCTTCTTGCGGCTCATGTGTTCTTTGGACAAGCTGCTCTGCTTCGTATCAGATTGACATTGTGAACCCGAACCCACCAAGAGTCCAGAGGCAACACTTGTGCATGCAACCAAACATTTGTTGCTGTTGGGGGGTTCACAGTTTTTGCCCCTATCTTGAATACATCACTAACAATCTCGGGTCAGCAAAGAACAGGCCCTCTGAGTCAAGAAATGATGCCTGTCTCAGATCTCTGGCGAGGGGCATTCATGGCTCTTATCCTCCCTTCGAATACCACCCATCGGGTCTAGATTGGTGGCCACTCATCCGCAGGACAGTCCCAAGTTCCACTTGTCCAAACTTCCCCAAGAGCAAATGAAACCACAACTGGGCCTTGCATCCTTTTCCCCGCCAGTTGCCGCGGTTTGGCCTTGGGCGCCCCGAAGGACTGCTCGATGACGACGTTGCGCCCCTGGCGAGGGGGTTCCCCCAGAACCCTGAGTCAAGGAGTGATATGTTTGTTTTACCCCAAGGTATCATTATTTTTCCCAGGATATATGTTCTTCTTACCCCAAGGTATTCTTGAAACTTGAAAGGCTCGCAAACATATCCCACCCAACAAGGAGGGATATGGCTGTGGGTCAAAACCCTGTACCCCCAGTAAACCTCCGATTCAATCCCCACTAAAATAGGTTCTAAAATGGGTGGTGAGTTCACCTACCAACCAAAATGGTACCATTGGTTTTGACCCATGGCCATATGTTCTTTTTACCCCAAGGTATCATTCTGCTTCCGAGGCTCGCAAACATATGCCACCCATGAACTGTCTACTATAAACATGGCGACCAAAAACAACCCAACCGCCGTGGTCAAAGACCGTGTTTCATCAGCTTTCCGACTCCTGCTCGGTTTGGGATGGTAGTTTAGAGGTGGAAATTGTTAGATTCAAGCCTGCAAGAAAGTCGAAGACTTTAGGGCCCCGCCCGACCGTGAATGGGTCCGAAGCGAGAAATGATTCGCCAGCTTGTTCAACCCTATTCCGGGTAATTGTTGTGGACAAATGGCCTGGCCAAATTGAAACATACTCTTCTTTCTTGTGATCAGGCTTCCATTTGTGATCAAGGTAGACTTGGTTATTTTCCCCAAATAGTGTGTAAGGGGTTTCATTAACAAGGCAAACGCAAACCTCTAGATCACCCATCGCCCTTTTGGCTTTTCAGACACTGTGGATGGTTGCGAACTCCATTTCGCACCCAAGAAGCCCTGGATTTGTTTCGTCTCATTCCCAGCGTAAAAATACCAACCAGCAGTGGTTTCAACCCATGGTTTCAACCATGGTTTCTCATGGTTTCTCATGGTTTCTCATGGTTTCTCATGCACCTGGTTTCGACCATGGTTTCTGAGGTGGTGCGGTCACGGATTTCGTTTCGCAACCATCCGCCGCGCCGAATCCCCGGCCTTTGGGCCCATAGTCACTGCCACCGCGTCCGCCAGGCGGTTGCAGCCTCGAAACCGAGACCGAAGCTTCCGACCGCGGCCGCCGAATTCGAAAAAGCGGCTGGTTAGCTGAGACAGGGCCCGGCTCTTGAAAAGCGGGATGGACATTTCTTGGAAAAACCTGTCTCTGTATCTGTGGTTGTTGAAGCCCAAGCTTTTTTAGTTGAAAACCTCGGTGTGTGTGTGTGTGTGTGTGTGTGTGTGTGTGTGTGTGTGTGTGTGTGTGTGTGTGTGTGTGTGTGTGTGTGTGTGTGTGTGTGTGTGTGTGTGTGTGTGTGTGTGTGTGTGTGTGTGTGTGTGTGTGTGTGTGTGTGTGTGTGTGTGTGAGTGTGTGTGAGTGTGTGTGTGTTTGTGTGTGTGTGTGTGTGTGTGTGTGTGTGTGTGTGTGTGTGTGTGTGTGTGTGTGTGTGTGTGTGTGTGTGTGTGTGTGTGTGTGTGTGTGTGTGTGTGTGTGTGTGTGTGTGTGTGTGTGTGTGTGTGTGTGTGTGTGTGTGTGTGTGTGTGTGTGTGTGTGTGTGTGTGTGTGTGTGTGTGTGTGTGTGTGTGTGTGTGTGTGTGTGTGTGTGTATGCGTTGAAGCCCAAGTATGAAAGCCCATGTTTCATTGATTGACGAAACCCGAGCGGCTTTCCTTGATTGATAGCGCTTTAGACAGCTTTGTTTCAGCGTTTCGTGGAGCCTGCCGTTCAGAGTTATCACAGGAATCCTATTGGTAGCCCGCAGCCCGGCAGAAACTGGAATGAGACCAAAATCTTTGTCTATATAATCAGATGCTGCCTGTTGGTTTAGAGGAACGATGCGTCCACAATACTTTGCCACTGACAAAGTCATCCCTAAGTTGTAGGTGAACAAGGAAGAACCTCTGTTTCTGATTTGACCCCACCATGCCAATGACCTCAGATCTCCATCGACTCCCCGCCTTCCAGCATCAGCGCCCTTGCCTCACTCCCATGGCGGATGTCCTCACCGTGCGGCCAGAGAGCCGCAAAATAGCACGCCTGAAAAATAAATAAATAAGTACATAAATAATAAGTTAAAAATACAAAGGAAAACACGCACGGGGAGGGTTTCCTCATTTCCAGGCAAACACATGTGCAATGGCATTCCCAAACGAAATGCTCAAGCTCATCGGTGCTTTTGCAAAAACAGATGCCTCGGATATGTGGAGTAACACCAATCGAAACCATGGAACCCATCTGGCCATGGGTCAAAAGCCCGTACCCCCAGTAAACATCAACCAATCCCCACTAAAATCGACTAAAACGGGTGGTGCACCTACCCCAAAATGGTACCATTTGTTTTGACCCACAGCCATCCATGTCTAACCAAACAAAGCAATCAAAAGCACACCTTTGCTCAAGCTCCTCGTGCGTGCAGGTGGGGTGCCGACGGCACCAGATTTAGGGAGGCCGGTTTCCATGAGGTCTGCTAAAGCGATCCGCATTTGAACTGGAACCCGGGACATGAAAACCTGGCCGTCACAAAACTGGCCGACAATAAGTATGTTTCTACCTGTTTATACATTTGTGCATGTCTGCATATACATGTGTACATTTGTACGGTTACTAACGCCGGTATAGAACAATCGGTCGGACAAATTGTTCGGGAAATGGCTGTATCTCAATCCAATGTGCCCAACATGAGGCACCGGGTTTGGAAGCAGTGGTTGAGCCGCTGCTTCCATCTGCATGTTCGGTGCGACAAGTCATTCCTTCAGATCCAATAAACAAAGCAACAAAACCACATCCCTTTAAATTCAGGAAACTTGAGTCCAGTTGTGCCTTTGTTGAGGGTACCCTTTTGAGGTTGGTTTGAAGGGGAACCAAGAAATCCAAAAGGAAAACGACAATTTTGGTGGGTCCAGGCTCAAGGAAGCTTCCCTTTTGCCTCCGCACCAACGGCTTGCTGCCCCAGTGCTCGCAGCCTCACCAAAGGGGAACCTGGGCGGTTTGAAGAAAAGTCGGGAAAAGGCCCATGTTAACGGGGAGACAAGCCCAAAAAGTTCCCTGGCACCAACAAGAATCAAGCATTTTGAAGAGTCACCCATTTGCGGGGGGGGGGGGGGTCTTTTTTGCGGGTACTCTTTTTGGGCTTGGTTTGAAGAAAAGCCAAAAGAACAGCCGAAGCCATTTTGGGAGGTCCCCATTAAAAAGACGACCCACTCATTCTGAATTTCGACGACCGAACTCCTTGGCGGCTGCAAAGCTCCTGATGCCCGCAAGCGGGCGAACCTCAGCCGCCAAAACGCGTCAACCGGTCAAACTTGCCCAATCAGTGGATGCCAAAAACTATAGGCACCCAATTTTGGCTAGAGGGATCTAGTGGGCAAACTCCCATCCTGTTTTAGGAGTTGTCCCACATCAGTGAGTGCATCTCTCCCTGCAACTTGCGACAGGGTGTGCCGCAATATTTATATATATATATATATGTAGACATGTATGTATGTATGTATGTATGTATGTATGTATGTATGTATGTATGTATGTATGTATGTATGTATGTATGTATGTATGCATGTATGTATGTATGTATGTATGTATGTATGTATGTATGTATGTATGTATGTATGTATGTATGTATGTATGTATGTATATGTATGTAATGTATGTATGTATGTATGTATGTATGTATGTATGTATGTATGTATGTATGTATGTATGTATGTATGTATGTATGTATGTATGTATGTATGTATGTATGTTGTATGTATGTATGTATGTATGTATGTATGTATGTATGTATGTATGTATGTATGTATGTATGTATGTATGTATGTATGTATGTATGTATGTGTATGTATGTATGTATGTATGTATGTATGTATGTATGTATGTATGTATGTATGTATGTATGTATGTATGTATGTATGTATGTATGTATGTATGTATGTATGTATGTATGTATGTATGTAATGTATGTATGTATGTATGTATGTATGTATGTATGTATGTATGTATGTATGTATGTATGTATGTATGTATGTATGTATGTATGTATGTATGTATGTCTGTATGTATGTATGTATGTATGTATGTATGTATGTATGTATGTATGTATGTATGTATGTATGTATGTATGTATGTATGTATGTATGTATGTATGTATGTATGTATGTATGTATGTATGTATGTATGTATGTATGTATGTATGTATGTATGTATGTATGTATGTATGTAATGTATGTATGTATGTATGTATGTATGTATGTATGTATGTATGTATGTATGTATGTATGTATGTATGTATGTATGTATGTATGTATGTATGTATGTATGTATGTATGTATGTATGTATGTATGTATGTATGTATGTATGTATGTATGTATGTATGTATGTATGTATGTATGTATGTATGTATGTATGTATGTATGTATGTATGTATGTATGTAATGTATGTATGTATGTATGTATGTATGTATGTATGTATGTATGTATGTATGTATGTATGTATGTATGTATGTAATGTATGTATGTATGTATGTATGTATGTATATGTATGTATGTATGTATGTATGTATGTATGTATGTATGTATGTATGTATGTATGTATGTATGTATGTATGTATGTATGTATGTATGTATGTATGTATGTATGTATGTATGTATGTATGTATGTATGTATGTATGTATGTATAAGTTTAAAAACATGGCACGTGCAATCGAACACTTGGGCTTTGAAACCCTCGAGGTCAAATCTACGCGACCGAATCTGCGCACCTTGCGGCCAACCAGCCGTCGCAGCTTTGCACCCCTGGTGTCCCCTTTGAAAGGCTCGCCATTCCGGAAAATCACTTTGGAACCTTCATGGAGGAAGCTGACGCCCCCAATCGTCCACTGTTTTTGTTGGGAGGGCACTCCAGGGGTCTCTACATTCCCTTGTTGGTGGTTTAAACAAATCAGGGAATGTGTCAACATCAAAAAGGACGTGGACCCAAACGAGCGGTGGGTTCCTCTTGGTTTGTGTGTAAACCAAGGTGAAGAAGGCCACCCTCGAGCAACACACACACACAGACACACAACTTTGCCCAACTGCCGAGGGCCGGGCCGATGCCTGGCGCAGAGTGGACAGCATCTCTCGGACGAGAGGCGGTCCCCTGGGGGGTCGACTTGAGCCTTCAAAGCTGCGCCCGCACGGGAGAAATCAACAACGGGCCATGTTGGCCCCTAAAAAAAGCCAAGGTGGGGTGAACCGTAGGCAAACCGACGTGCGGTAAGGTACGAGGGTGCGGTTTGCGGAGACATTCGCCCACTGGGTCTCACGTCCGGCGTGCTTTCGCCCAGGTGCCGCAGTGCTGGAGGCATGGCTCAAGATCCCATCTTTGGTGAGGCTCTGTATCTGGATCTCCGGGAAGAATGATTGCTACTCCCAGACTGGGAAAGTGTTTCGACCATGGCCGGGCATGAAATGCAAGGTGAACGATGACCCAAGAACCCCTCCGCGTGGAAGCATTCAGACTCTTGTGGCAAGAGTACGTCAGTATCTGGTGCTTGTACTTTTGGGCAAAGAACTTAAAGGATTCGTTTCGCCTCCCGAGACGATAGCTGTTTTGGCAGGGCCCCTCGGCTTGATTCCTAAATGACACCTTAGAGGAGAGCCTACTGGGAACCCAGGCATAGATCCACTGTCTGTCCCTAAACGGGGGAGGGGGTCCCATGTAACGGGACTCTCAGCCCTATTACTCCAAGTTCATCCATCAGAAGCAAGTTGATCGATCAAAGGCCCAGTGCCGCGATGTTTTTCTCTCAAATGCCAAGCCGCAAGCCGGCCCAGGGCTCAAGTCAGGCAATAACCGAAAAGCAATCGGCTCCTGTACGGTGGTCCGACCTACCGTTTCAAACGGTGAACCGATCTATCACTATTTTCACATTCCATGAGGATGCCCAGACCTGCGGGTCTGGAAACGCGAGCATCACATCGAGCACGAGCCGGTCCAAAACATAGGTGCCCTGTAACGCGTAGGTGCAGCCATCCCTTGCTCGTCTTGTCTAATGGCTCACAGCTAGATGACCAGCAACAAAAGGGCATCAAGCGGTCGCACAACATGATGGAGGTCATTCTCACTTGTTGGTTTGCAGATGGTCTCCATGAATTGGGGCGAGAAAAATAACTAAAGCGACTGCAACCCTGCCATTTCACGACAATTGTCCCAAGTTTGCCACAGAAAAACGCGGCTGCAGCACGCCTTGGCAGGCAATGCTGCAAGTCTGCGGGGCAGCTCATCTGCGCGACGGGTCAGTTTATCAGGAAAGTCGAGGGCACAAGCCTTCTTGTAGGTAAGCAAAGGGGATACCCTCCCCAAGAGGAAAACCGTCTAAGCGCCAAGGCACCCTTGCAAGCATCAACAACCAACAACCACCCGCCACAAAAACCGTGCCTTTTTTCAGTGTTTCAAATCGCTTTTCGAAAGACAGCTCCCATTAGTGTCCCGCGCATCACCCGTGCAAGCCCGCAGACCCATACGCGTAAGGCTGCAGACCCAAAACCAACCCCAAACGCAACCCAAGAATGGACCCAGGGTCATCATTTTAGTCTTCGAAGACCTTCCTAGCCATATCCTCTGTATGCCAGCCGTTCGGCCAGTTGGCCGCGGCCGGATTCATATTAACCAGGCTAAGGAGCAAGCCACCGGATACGAAGCTTGGCGTCGGGCTCACAAAGTAAATCCAGCCACTGGGGATTGGCCGTGCTAGCTCGGAGGGCTAGCTTCAGTAAAAGGCAAGGGCCATCAGAGAACCATGGGCATACTGTGCCCGCCGCAAAAAGGTATTGGAGAGTTTTGTAACCATCTCCCTGCGCGGCAAACGTGCCGTTTTTTTGTGTTTTTTTTGGGGGGGGGCCTAGCACAAACACCTGCAGGTTGCCAGCAATTCGAGCATTGTCGGCCTCGCATCCAGACGCAAACGCCTACAGGTTGCCAACCTGCAGCCTTTGTTTGTTGCATCCCCCAGACGCAAACACCTGCAGGTTGCCAACCTGCAGTCTTTCTTGTTGTCAAGAGCCTTGCATCCCCGGCATTTTCGGCCGCAGGTTGCCAACCTGCAGCCTTTGTTGTTGTCAAGAGCCTTGCATCCCCGGCATTTTTGGCTTGCATCCAGACGCAAACGCCTACAGGTTGCCAACCTGCAGCCTTTGTTTGTTGCATCCCCCAGACGCAAACACCTGCAGGTTGCCAACCTGCAGTCTTTCTTGTTGTCAAGAGCCTTGCATCCCCGGCATTTTCGGCCGCAGGTTGCCAACCTGCAGTCTTTGCTGTGGTCAAGAGCCTTCTATCCCCGGCATTTTTGGCTTGCATCCAGACACAAACGCCTACAGGTTGCCAACCTGCAGCCTTTGTTGCTGGAGGATGTGCAGGTTGCCATGTTGTCAAGAGCCTTGCAACCACGGCATTGTCAGCCTTGCATCCAGACGCAAACACCTGCAGGTTACCAACCTGCAGCCTTTCTTGTTGTCAAGAGCCTTGCATCCCTGGCATTTTTGGCTTGTATCCAGACGCAAACGCCTGCAGGTTGCCAACAAAAAAGCAAAGAAAATGGCAGGAAATGGACGGACATGAAGGGATGGAAGGGAACAAGGAAGTACAAGGAAGAGGGCGCGCTGGAAGGAAACTGAAATGAAGGGAAATGCAGGGACATAGAAGAACATGAAGCGAACTGGAGGGCGAGGGACTTGAAATTAGGGAAACCAAGAGACTGAAGGGAAAGGAGATCACGGGAACTAACGAGAATTAAGAGAAAGGACTGCAAATGAAGGGGCATGAAGAGAAATGAAGGGAGCTGAACGGAAATGAAGCGAAATAAAAGGAAGTGAAGGGAAATGAAAGGAAACCGTCGGAAATGCAGGGGAATGAAGGGAAAGGACTACAAATGGAAGGGAACTGAAAGGAAATAAAGGGAGCAGTCTCAAAGAGAACGAAGGGAACCCTGCCATTGAGCAAAACATCGGGTCAAAGACAAGGATGGTTGCAAAATCCTCTTCTCGCACCACCGTTCAGAAACCCAAGGGACTGATTCGATGCCCCTGTACCAGCAAATAGTGGGTTCAGCCATGGTTCCTTAGGTGCGAACGGATTTCGTCCACACCAACCCGCAGCCAAGCATCCAAGGTCCACAGCTCAGTGGGACTTTGGGGTCGGGAGGCAGTAAGACTTGCTGCCGGCTCCCCAAGGCGGTTTTTGGCAACGTTCGGTTTTTGTGGGAGTTGCCTCCATACCCGTCTAAAACGCGGGGCCTTTAGAGTGAGACAAATGTAAACCCAGCATTTGGCTGCAGGGGCACGGCTCTCCTGCCCAACTCCCAACTGCAGAGTTGACGAATGGAGGCATCCGTTTACAGTGGCACACAACATCCAAATCCCATTTCCTACCCACCCCAAAACAAACAAAAAACAAACTATACAACTTGGCAGCAACGCCGGTCTTCCTCGGAGAGTTTGCCGTGCGGCTTCTTAGTGCAGGTTTGGGCCAAGCCCATCCTAAACCAATCTGCTTCTTGGGTCGTCCAACTCTGCGGCTCGCTCTTACCCCCCGGCAAAACGGCAAAAAAATCGCCGCCTGCTGCAACGGCTGCCCGGGCATCATTTGCGGCAGCATCTGCCAAGAGCCATCAATTTACAACACATGGCCGTGGTTGCGTGGCGAGTTCTCTTGCAAAATGATAATTTTGCAATTCCACGACACTCTGACAACGCACAGACACGACTAGCGATCATTCCTCAACATGTCGACCTTAATCAGCCGAAAGCGCCATCAGATTACAACACATAGACCCGTGATCATCTTGCCACGCTTTGGCTCGCAACTGGCGATCATGTTACAACACACAGATAGAAAGGGCGAACATGTTCGTTCCAACACAAAGAACGAACCAGAGTCTCGATAGAAAACAGAAAAGAACGATAGAAACCATGGACAACATAGAAACGATAGAAGCCATGGAAAACATGGAAACCATACACCATAGACACCATAGAAACACAAACACCGTGGAAACTATGGGAACCATCGAACCATGGAAACCATAGAAGCCATCGACACCATAGGAAGCACAGACTCCATAGAAACCATAGAAACCATAGAAACCATAGAAATGTAATGAAAGCCATCAAAAAAGAGAGACCATGGCAACCACGAAAACCATGGAAACCATGGAAACCATGGAAACCATGGAAACCATGGACACCATTGAAACCTTAAACCATAGACACCATGGAGACCATGGAGACCGAAGAAACCATAGAAGTTGGAACCATAGAAACCATGGAAACCATAGAAACCATGGAAACACTAGAAACCATGAAAAGCCCTGGAAACCGCAGAAGACATGGAAATAGCGGGTATACGGGAATGCCCGCGCTGAGAAACGATCAGCCTTTGGCGTAGCGCGTCTTGACAAAGACCAGCTTCGCACATAAACGATCCCTAAAAAGGCGACCGTTGTACAACCAGGGCCCCTTTCCATCTGCCAACTCCTTGTGGGGCGGGGAATCGGAATCGGTCCGACCGAGATGCGGGTTAGAAATCTGTGGGGAGGGTCCGAGCCCACCCCTTGCGGCCGAAGAAAACACCATCCCCTTTGCATTGACGCCATCGGAGCCGTGGGGGTCCAATGAACCTCTGAACATTAGATACGGCCACGCAAATGAGGGCCTCCTAAACTCCTAAGGCAAAAAACCTCTGCGTGGCTGTGATGCAAGGGAAGACTGTAGGTCCACCTTCTGCACCGCTTGACGTCGCCCGCAAAACAACACCCTTCTCGCATGGCAAAGCCTGCACGTACGGAACTTCCCAAACACACAAAACGCCGAAACACCGACCAACTCCCGCGCGCGCAAACGCGCAAACGCGAAAACGCCAACAGCTACCTGCGCGCCTGGGGAGAGAAGCCGCCCTGACCTCACGATTTTGCGACCCCTTTGGCCTGGGACCCGCCCTCTGATGAAAGAGGGCCATGAGTTTCTCCCATCGAAAGGAAAGCCTCCAAACTGAAAGGGCATCTCTTTTGGATGGTTCCCTTGTTTGGTGGATTCAAAGGGCAGGAAAACCTTTGATCCCTTTCAAGGGCCCAAAGTCCGACTACCAGACGCGAGAGCGGGGCGGGTTGCCACCCCGACCGAACAGCTCCGCTAAAAGGGTCGAGGAAACCAGCCCCAACACCCGAAAACCCAAAGGGTCAGCTTTCGGACTTGGGGAAACACGGAAATTCCAAAGGAGCCCCGTTCGGATGTGAGAAGGCTGGAAGGTGGGTGTAGGGGCTCGCCGTGCTTTTTGGATTTGGACACCGAGATCGCTGCGGTTTTCCTTCTGGTGTCCCGAACACAACCAACCCAAAGAGGGTTCCCTAACAAAAGACAAACCCACAATGGGTTTGGCAGCTTAGGATTGGTTGAGAATGCGGTTGAGGGAGATCTAAGGCGGTTTTATGGTTGGGTCGAGGAAGGTTTGGGCTTGGCTTTGGATTTGGCTTAGGGTTGGAGAAAGCCCCAACAGCCAGCCGCTTCAGGCACAAAAACACACAGACACAATCACCGGTTGCCATGGCCAAAAAAACGGCACAGCTGTCCAACTATTGACTAGTCACTATTTATTTCTACTCGCTAACTACTAACTTGATACTGACTACAGCTACTAAGTCCGCGTTGCACATGTGTGATGATTGGAATTCTTGTTTGCGCACGAGCAGGGGCACATCTTAGCTCGGCACGAAGCTTGCGCACGGGGAAAACGGGCCAGGGAAAGCTCTGTTGCTACACGGTTTGACTCATGCACATGCCTGATTCGAGTCATCGTGAGACTTGGCAACCTCGAGCCATGCCTGGCAGAAAGTTGGGGGACAAGCTGAATCATTCCCACGCTGCTTGCGATTGGAAGCAACGAGCAAGCAGCCCATGCCGGGTCTGCAACATGTGGTTAGTGTGAAAGTCGCCCGTGCCTGTTGCAGAAGATGTCAATTTGAACCGCACCTGCTCCCATGGACTCACTTGTTCGCACGACTTCTGTGAACCTCCGAAAGAGGACCTGCTTCAGATCAAGAACGCGATCACCCCATCGCAAAAAAAAATAAGAATACTCTTTTCGGCACCCATGCCCCAAGTGCATTGTGACGTCTTCAAGGGCGAATTAGACCGACTAGTTCGGATGAGATCCGAATGGATTGCAGGGATGTTTATCATCCCTAAGGAGGTCACCTGGCGAAACGGTGCCTCGTGCCTGTTGGAGAATGGAAACTTTCGTGGACTGCACAGCCACTAGAACTATTTGTTGCTTACTAGTTGCCGCTTCTGTTTTCCCACTACTGCTGCTGCTGCCACTACAACTACGACCATCACCACCACCACCACCGCCACCACCACCCGAGCACCTCTGGGCCCGCGGCCCACATAGCCCATAGGCACCGCGCCCACATGGCCCACATGGCCCACAGGCACCACGCCCATGGGTCTGGCCAAAGCGACGTCAAGACATGCGGGCTGCTCAAAAGGTGGTCTGATACATGGGAGGACCGTTTCGGGGAAAATCACCCGAAAAGAGGACTGGAGAAAGCTGACGCGAAATGTTGGGGCCGAACGGAAGATTGATCAAGCCCACGAGCCAGGGTCGAACATGAGCCAGGGTTTCCCTGCTGATCCCTGCAGCATTTCGAAGCTCGGCATGCGTTCTGGCATCATATTCGGCCCAATCCTTTTGGCGTCCCTTCTGGAACAAATACGGCGGCCGCGGGATATTTGGAGTCCCTCCTTGTCCCAGAGGAACGGGGAAACTCGGGGCTCGTCCCCCTTTGACATGAGTCAAAATTCGAGCAGACCGCAGGTTCTGGTCCTCGGTCCTGTGCACCTATGATTGACCCACCACTTCCAGAAGCGACTTTTGCAAATGCAGTAACCACTCTGACATTCCAAAAACGGGATCAGAACCCAAAGAATCAAAAAGGCACTTTTTCAGGCCCCTGCTAGGTGCCCTTTTTTGCGGGTTGCACAAAATCTCAACCTCTGATATACTGCAAAAAGCGCTCAAAAGCCTGAATATCCTCGATCGAAACTCCCTAAATTGCGCCAGGGGCTGGCCTCAATAGGAATCCTTCATGGTTCGCAATACTTATTCAGGGGTCCGCCGCAGAAAAGTTCGCCAACAAGACGGCATCCACCATTTGTTCGCATGCGCTCACGTCAGCCGCTACAGAGACCAACGGGGGATCAAGGGTTAATTAAGGATGGGAAGAGAAACAGACGCGATGCCATGGATTGGATTCCAACAAAACATTGTCTCTGAAAGTTGGTTCCTTTCGAGACACTGTGACACTTTTCAAAAGACCCCTATCTTGAGCAGGGACCATTGCCAACCAATGACTAAACTTGGATCTAGGGGTAACCCATTGCTCCGAGTGGCTCCAAATACTGCAAGTCACTCTGTTCAATTCAACTCACCTGGTGTGGCGGGAAGCAGCATTGCCCGATGCAAACCTTGTGACCAGGTCCCGTCTCCGGACGGTTGGCCAGGTTCAAAGACAAGGTCCCATCCCCCAAATCTAAGAATTGTGCTTGTTCGAGTTCCGCGAAAACATGCGGGAGTATCTTCAATGGGGATCGGTGGGCATAGTGGGCGTGTCTGTGTGTGTGTGTGTGTGCAAGAACATGTTTCCGATGTACCATCGACAACAAACAGCCAATGAATGTTAGTGGAAAAATACCCTCAACAAACTGTTGGACATAAAACCCCCAATGTCCACCAAAGGGTCCCCAATCAAAAACAACATGCCCGCACGACCTTTTGCACCAGTCGTTGTCTCCTCCGCCCCACGGGAAAGAAAGCCCGCCTCGCTGGCTGTCCTGATCGCTCGAGGACATCGGGGAGACACGACGAAAAAACCGCGCAGAGTTCAGGCGCGACACGATTTTTGCAGTGATTGGCCACCCACGGACGTCAGTTCCATGGGCGTTTGTGTCCCATTCGAGGGGTTCCCCCAAAGTCTTGTGTTCCCTTGGCCTTAGCCACAAACCAATTCCTCGAGTCCCCAAAACGCGTTCCTTTTCGGAGCCGGAAACGAGGGGTGCGTCCCTACGGCCAAGCTTGGACACCGGGCCGGGAGCAAACTGCGCTAAAAACAAACTAGTGGCATGCGAACGTTCGCAACTTGTGTGGGGCCGGGCAGTTTCTGCGGCTTTGGCTTCAGTTTGGAACTTGACATCTTCGCGAAAGGGTAGCAGCCATGAGAGACCTATGGCAGTTCTTTCTTGACATCTACACGAAAACACACATGAGAACTGTGGTTTCAGAATTGTGGTTTCTTCACCTCTTTTACACTAATAAAAAAAAGGAAGGAGAAAAAAACAAAGGAAGAAACCTGGCTTCTTCACATCCTTTACACAAAAAAGAAGAGGAAGGACACCCATGAGACCTGGCCTACCCGACCCGCCTGGATGCCCGGGCCATTGGGCCGGCCTCGACTTCGCTTCACCAGACCGAAACGCGCTCGTCGTTTCGAGGACAGCCACGAGAGCCTTCGTAGCCATTTCGGGGTTCGGTTCGGTACCGTTTTGGGGCTAGTGGAAGAAGGGATGAGAATTTGTGGCCGGTGGGCTCCCAATTTTTTGACACGGCCATATCTGCTCGAAACTGAGATGGAATTCAAAAACTCCGAAAGCTTTCAAGGGATCTCGAGAAAGCTTGGATTCTTGTCCTGCATGCTCCACAAGCTCATTCAAGTCCCCAGTGCTACCACTCGTCGGATGTGGGTGGACTTGCTTTCTAGGGCTGATGATACCCCAATAAGCCCTTGGTTGTGCGGTTCAAGCATTTCCAGGACCTGTGTCTTTGAGCACTTCGAGCCCAGTGAACTACGCTTCGACCTTCCTGAGAGCCATGGACTCAATTCCCAGCTTCTCCAACGAGAACTCCAACCAACCAATCGCTTGAATGAAACTCACGAAATGCCAAGCCTTGATCTTCCAGGCTGCATCCTCAAGGTTGCATCACAAGGTATCAAAGACTCCAATCGACCGCGCTTTCCTACGCCTGAAGCAGATTGTCCTAGTTCTGGCAAAGGACCCGAGTAATGTGAACCCCGGATTCATAAACCCCTGGTTAATTAATAGAGGGGTGTCCCCTTTTGGTGGGGATTCAGACCACTTTTGGAGGGAACAACCCCCTAATGGGATGGGTTGTTTCATCCGGGGTTATCATTAGTGAGCATATCGGCCTCTCTGCCCAACCCTGTTTGAAAAAGTCCTCTGGCGGAGACTCGGGCAAAAGTCGACAGCAGAAACGGCCGGGCCTTCAGAAATCTCGGGATTCGAAAGAGCGACGTGTGAGTCAGAGAAGTACAGAAACAGAGCGTCTTGGCAGCCTCCTTGCTGTGGGGTAGTGGCTTTTGCGGGTCTGCAAAACAATCTGGCACATGACCTCTAGAGCCTCTAGGTGTCTATGGCACGTTCCCTCGATTCCTCGGTGGTTTTTTGCAGCCCCTCAGCTCGTCGGGGGTGTTTGGCGAGTCCCAGACACGCTCCAGGCAGGCTGGCCACCTGAGTCGATGAAACTGACACTTTTGGAGATGGGGCTTGCAGAGGGGACATGAAACGAACCGAGAAGGTGTGAGAGTGTGTGAGAGAGAGGGGTGTCAAAACTCGGGGGGTGGGGGGTGTTTCTGTTGGTATCACGTCAAACCTACCTGAAAAGGGCACTGAGCCACAAAAGCACACAGCGACATACATTTGAAAGGACGCCCCTTGTTGCGGCTCCAGTTCTGGGATGGACCCTCCTGCCTGATGCTTGTGTGCGCTTGACTTTCAAGGTTTTCTCTGGCCAAGGCAGCACAAGCACGCGGGTCCGGAGTCAGGAGGTGGGGGGTGATCAGGGGCTCAATCTTTTGGCGCCATGGTCAAGACTTATGTGAGTCATGGTCATGGTTGCATAGGAACCTTAAAAAAGTAATGGCCCTAAATCATCTAGTTGTCGACAGGCGTTGCCGAGCCCGAAAGGGCCATTGCAAATCGCTTGCGGAGTGCCGAGCCTGTCACTCAATGCAAAATCGCCAAGAACCATGAAGCCAGATTCAATGCCCAGCGCTCGCTCCATGCTCGGGTGTTTGCACGATGAATACTGACCACCAAACCACCAAACTACCCCTCCGAGTCAAACCCAAACTTGCCACACATTTCGCTGGTCTTTGGCTTTTGCTGTCCTTCGCGGCCGCATCTCTGCGCATGCCCTCGCTGCAATCAACTTCTGTGATCGGGGACCCCGGTCGCAGGCTCAAGGTGCGGCTGGCAAGCCGCCCACGTCGCATATTGGACAGACCCGTAAACTGACTTTGGCTCGTGACACAACCGTGGACCGGAGGGGTTCACTTGGCCATGGGTTAAAATCGAGTACCCCCGGTGAACATCCCAATTCCCACTAAAATAGACCATGGGTGGTGCACCTACCCCAAAATGGTACCATTGGTTTTGACCCAAAGCCACTTCTGACCATCCTCTCGAAAAGCACTGAGTCCACTTCCATGAGCTCATGGCCATATGCGAGTGTGACCTTGAAAGCCCAGCGGTCAGGGAATATGGACATGAGCTAAGGGCAACGAAGATGCTCCTGTCCAGCATCTGAACGGCGAGCGCATCAGTTGCTCATCTTGCGCAACTGGTCCGACAGAGAAAATCCCAGGATCTTGCTCCCCCAAACTTCTACGAGATTCTCGGGATGTAGAATTGGTCGTCCGATCCGTTTTCTCCTCCGGACCGCGCCGAATTTGGCGCTGCCTTTCTTCGGTTCCGAAGCGGAGCGCCCTTGGGAGGCCACCCGATCCGGTGCGAAAAGGGAGAGGCGTTGACCCCACCCAGCTCTCAAGCTCAAGGACATCCAACATCCTGAACGCTCTCTATGCTAGTGGGAATGAGGGAATGAGGGAATGACCCCTACCAACCATCCTCTTTTATCCTTTTCTGGTTTCCTTGAAGGGAATTTCCCCAGGTCCACTCCCTCATTCCCTGAGCACCAACAAGTTCTATCTCATCTTTTCCCGGAACAGAGGGCGCTTCCTTAGAGGTCCAGGTCCAGGAAGCGCTTGAACCACTTCCTCCGCTGCTTGTCCCCCAGCTGCGCCAGCTCCGTCTCCCTCAGCGTCCTCAGATGCCCCCCCGCCGCTCGCCACCGCTCCTCGGGCTCCACACTCAGCAGCTCCTCGGGAGGGAGTGAGACCCGGGACACTGACGCGACGCGCCAGTCTCTGAGACACTAAGGGCCAACTCCTCTCTCAAACCCCCCCCCAAAAAAATGAATCTGATGTTTTTTTGGCTAGTCAGGCTGAGTCATGCGAACTGTGAGTGTGAAAGCCCTCGAGGTGATGTAGTGTTAATGCCAGTCTTCTGCGGGAAACCGTTCTTTGTTGTTCAAGCCAGTGAAACAACAACCGCAGAAAAATCCGCGTTAACCTCCTCAAATCAACTGGCACCTCCCGGACAGTCTAGGGGATCACTGTTGGCTGGCCAGGCTCACCATCCAAATCGAGTCTACCTAATACATGCGAAGGCTCAAAATGGAGAATATCTGCAATGGCGAGGGCACAAAACCCCTGTTGTTTATGATGGGTACCTATGAAACCCCGGAATCCTCCCGAACCCGGAACCCTATTGACCAACCCAACCCCCTAGAGACCCCAAAGCGCAAGACGGCTCAGCCCTCAGAGCTTCCTGCCGCGACCCCTCCCACTCCCTCGACTCCCGCGGCAACGCCCGACGCGCGCGACTGGCAAGCTCCGTCCTGGAGGCTGGCCTCGGTGAGCTCCAACGCGCCCAGCTCCACGAGGCGCTCCAAGGTGCCCATGCCGTGCAGCACCGTGAAGCCCTTCGCGGCTTCGGCGAGAATCGCGGCTTCGGGTTCGGCTTCGGGCTTCGAAAGGCTTCGGGGCTTCGGCTTCTCGGCGAGTCTCGGCGATTCTCGGCGGCTTCTTGGCGTTCGGGGGTCAGTGAGAGATCAAAGACGCGGAGGGTGCAAAACCCCTCCCGAGCTGAAGGGGGGGGCCCATGTGTCACTTGCTTTTGTTGTTTCTTTCCCTTCATTGACGAGGGGGGGTGTGCAGTGCACCAATCCCTTTTTCAACGGGGTGGGGATATCGACCGAATGAGAACCACAGAAAAGGTCGATCAGGACTGTCCATTGCTCCGGCCGACATGAGCTACTTGGACACTGCGATGCAGCTTGCTTCCTGCCGTCTTTTGCACCAAGCCCCGACTTGCAACACATACTCTGAAAAAAAAAAAAGTCTGAGGGCCTGGAAGAAGCCCTTCAAGTTATTCTCTTCGTCCTGCACCTCGTACCTGAGCGAACCGCGGGCCTGAAGTATTTTACCCCCCCCAAAAAAAACGACATGAGCATCGTTTTGGTGGGGATTCGAACATGTCCATCCGCTTTTGTTCCCCAAAAGAATTCAGGGTTGCTTTGTGGCCGACGCCAAACTTTGCTTTAAGGAGGTCCACCCTTTCGGGCCGGGGGGGGGGGGGGGGAAAACACGAAGTCAAAAAAAAGAAAGAGCCAAAAAGCCCGACGAAGCGAAGAAGCGAAGGCACGTGACCCCTGCTCCTTGGGGGCCGCCCCAGGTGATTTGGGACTTGGTGTGCACCACCGGGCCGTTGAGCAGCGCCAGCAGCACCCCGCTCAGCTCGTTCTTGATCACCAGCACCACCGCCTCTCGTTGAAAAAACACAAACGGGGTTTAAAAGGAGGGCTGCTTCGATAGCCACATTAAATCGGGCATCGTGCGTAGCTCAGCCCCTATTTTTTATTTTTTTTGTTTTAAAAAAAAAAAAAAAAGCTAAAGCTTAGAGAACTCCTGCTGGCACAGCTAGCTTTCGTGAAAATGAGGGAACGACCCCGTTTCATACCATCCTCGATTTGAGGGTCCTTTTTTCGGGGATCTGTAGGCCCAGTCCAAAACTTGCCGGTTCCATAGGCAGGGAATGAGTTGGATGAAATGACCCCGAGAAACACCCCTCCATGTCCGATTTGGTGTCCTTTAAGGGAATCCCTAGGTTCCTTCCCAAACCCTGAAATCCAAAAGGCCATTAGAGTGATTGCCTCCGCAACCCAACA